GGTGGCCCCGGTTCGGATCCCGGGCGTGCACCAACGCACCACTTCTCTGGCCACGCTGAGGCCGTGTCCCACATACAGCAACTAGATGGATGTGCAGCTATGACACTATCTACTGGGGCTTTGGGGGGAAAAAATAAATAAATAAAATCTTTAAAAAAAAAAAAAAAATCAAGTTTGAGATTCTAGAAAAGGCCCTTCCATAATTTTCCAGTGGCTAAGCTAAGAGGTGCTCTCTGTTACTGCCTCTCAGAGCACCAAGGAATTGCTCAAGCCAGGGGAGAAAAAGGATTGGTAACATGCTTGCCTGGGAGCATCTTCCTGATCTCCTCTCCCTGTTGATTCAGAACAGCCTTCTCCCCACTTCCACACTACTGATTCTGGTAAAAGTCCCCTCTAGCTAAAGGACTTCACTGCTCTTCAAAGTAGGGGATGAAGCTGGCTGTTTAAAACCTTTCTCACTTCCCTGTCCCAAAGAGTCAACTATCTGCTCAAATAAGATTCAATTCCATCTACATTCGTAGGGATATACATTTTTTCTGAAAGAATTAAAGGAGACTGAGAATTAATAAACATGATTTTTTGCTACAACTCTTCACCTTTGGCACAGTGCTTCCCTTATATGAAATAAGGGACCTTTACTGGCTCTTTGCCTCTGTAAAGAAATAGCTGGGGATTTCACCGAGGTTCCTAGGAATGGTTGGTTTATTTTTAGTTGTTTGAAAAATAGATGTTCCAGGGTAAGATAATATGCATTGTTACATAGTGTGCCTAAGTGAAGAGAAGAACTTCCATTCAATAAGCTTGCTTCCCATAAGTTCTCTCTTATTTTGCTTTGAGCCAAAGGTTTTCAAACCTGTTCCACAGAACCCAGGAGGTCTACAAACATTTTGTTCTAACTTTTTATTTGTAAGATTGGTGGTTATCTTTGATTTTTAAAAATATACAGAAAATACATGACTATATTCTTGTGAATATTTGTGAATTGATTAATACATTTTATCAAGCACCTAGTGGTATACCAGGCACAATTCTAGGGACTAATGATATATCAATAAACAAAGAAAATAAAAATCCATGTCCTCATTTGAGTTATAGCAAGGAGCTTACATTCTAGTGGGAGGAGAAAAACATAATAAATATGGAAATTACATAATGTGTTAGAAGGTGATAAATGCTATCGACAAAAACAAGATGAGGCAGATCAAGAATGCTGGTAGGAGGAATTGCAGTTTTAAGTTGGAACGTCAGGGTAGGCCTCACTGAGAAGTTACCATTTGAAGAAAAACTTGAAGGAAGTGAAGGAATAAGCCATGTAGATAAATAGGGGAAGAACATTCTAGGCAAAGGGAACAGCCGGTGCAAAGGCCCTGAGGTGGGTCAGTGTATATATATTTGAGTTATAGCAAGGAGATAGGTCTGGCTACATTACAATTAGTAAAGGGGAAAGTGAAATCAGAGAAGTAGGAGTAGGAAATACAGATTGCAAAGGTCTTTGGCTTTTATTCCAAGAGAAATAGGAAAACATGTTGGGAGGTCTTTAAACAATAGAGATGTATATTTTCAACAAAGCATCCTCATCTCCTGATGCCATATTTCCCAGAGATTGCTGCCATTTTGGGTCATGTTTTTGCAACTTATTTTTTTGTGTGTGATTATATACATAAATGGGTACATATAGAAATATATAATTTTGTTTTGTGAGGGTGCATTTGTTTTAACATAGGTGAGCTTATATGCCCTCTGTTAATTAGCAATTTGCTTTTTACCATTAATATGTCTTGGAGATCTTTCTTTGTCCAGATGGTACATATATTTTTTTTTTTTTTTTTTTTTTATTTATTTTTTTTATTTTTTTTTTTCCCCCCAAAGCCCCAGTGGATAGTTGTGTGTCGTAGCTGCACATCCTTCTAGTTGCTGCATGTGGGACTCGGCCTCAGGATGAACGGAGAAGTGGTGCCTCGATGCGCACCCA